GGGGGTGAGGAGGCGAGCAGGCTAGTGCTGGAACTCAGGACGGCGGGAGGGGGTTGTGGAGGCTGACGGGGCCTTCTGGAGGAGGGTAAGGGGGAGAGGGCCTGCAGGCCGGGAGGCGCGGGGCTCTCCCCTGTCAGACTAGAGTGTCGCTTTTGGCGAGGTCTTCCTACCCGCAACCCGGTGCTGGCATTTCTGAAACGCCAGTGTGAGAGGTACAATGAGGGGCCAGTGAGGTCGGATCGGGTCCGTCTAGTCCTGTCTCTAGTGGCTAAAGATGCTTGCAGGAGAGGAGATAAAGCATCTGGCATGCTTAGGTGTCAAAGTTAACAGTCAGGGATTGGACAGCTCGCAGCAGAGGTTATCTGCAACCTCTGGAAGGAAATGACATTAATTTAGGGGCGTTTACAGTATTTCAGCACTGAGCGGAAGCATATTCTTTATTGAGAGATGAGCCTACAAAGTCATTGCAGGTACAAGTAGTCCAAAGTATATTTTATTTCTTAAATGATTCAACCATTGCATTGTAAGGAGATCCAGAACCTTCAGACTCATACCCAAAAGTCATGGACTGTGGTTTCCTTTTGCTTTATCTGATCTAATTTTTTAATGAAAACAGGTTTTTTTGGATAGTTTGTTTTCTCCCAGTTGCTACTCATGCAATTAATGTTTAATATATAACAGGGAAAGACTGATATAGGGACTTGATAATAGCTTTCTCTAATCATGCCTCTTCACTAATATCTCTGAGTAATTGTGTGTCATCGTAAGCCATTTGTGTTGGTAAAAAAAAGTAAAATGTGATAGCGGCAATGTTAGTCCAGTCAAATCAACGCTTTCTACGACTTTGTGCCAAATTAAGTATGCCACCTCATAGAAATACATGTATTTTATTACTCTGATTTAGGATATTCTGGAGGCGTTTGCAACCACTTAAACTTGCTTGGTTTATGATGGTCCTTAAACCTTATAGGCTTCAGCTGCCATCTGAGTTTTCATATCCAGTTTTTTGTTTCATTTCCATCAAGTTTCTTCTCTCATTCTGTTTGCAGCTCCATGTGACTTTGGTTTTGATTTTAAAGCCTAACTAAAGTAGTCATGAAAATAACGTATAACAAAATATTTATTTGGTTTTTTCCTGTATCATTTTCCTTTCTGTCTTTTGCCTGATCAGTCTATATATAAGGTTTTTAGAACTCTTTCTTTTTGTTTATGCAGGAGTCTGGCACTGTGAGGCATTACCTTAATTGTTTTTTAGGTGCTGTCATGAATAACTCAAATAAATAATACAAGTAAGGGTTGGAGTTTGTAATTTCTTGTGTATGAATATGATTGCTTTTCTTTACTCTTAAGCTTTGAGCTTTTCACTGTGCTCTCTTACTATGTCTGAAACAAATTTAGTCATTGTCTGACATTTCACCCCTCTTTGAAGTAAATTTCTTCAAAATAAGCCCCCTCACATTTCACTTCTTTAATGACTTCTATTCATGAACTGTTGTCATGTGTGAGTGAGACATATCTTATAGATGTTTTTGTAAAGTGTTCTGCAAATTAATGGTATAATAGAAATGTATTATTGTAGGATCAGGGAAAGCACAACCAATATCATGCGGTGAAGGTAAAATCTCATAGTGCGTGTCCTAGAGGAGTTCTAAATCTCTTCTGCCTTAACAACATTGCTGTAGCGTATGGATTTGTGCATGAGAGATCTGTTCATTTACTATGTAGGATGATAATTCAAGTTGATCTTGAACACAGAAGTAAATGTGTTGAGATAATTTTACTTTATTAGGTATTCATTTAGGAAGAAATAAAACTCAAAGATAGGAGCAATAGCTATATAAAATATTCAGAGTGATTTCTGAAGAAATTTTACAAGGTTTCAGGTCATAAATTTCCACCTCAAGTAGAATTCCAAATAGATTCTGCAAATGAAGGAATTTGTTGTCTGAAGTATCAGATTTATTCTTAACATCAAAAATTTGGAGTATAGGAAAGGATGGGGGAAGGGTTCTTAGCTCTGTCAGGTGAGGGTTAGGTGAGGAACATACTATAACATTTTGGAGTTGTCAGGTCAGTCACTGCTGAACGTGTCTTTAAAAATACCACACCAGAGTGAATTGTAGATCACTCCCTGCAGGCAACTTCTTGTTCTCTAATTTTAGATTCTCTTCTGAAGGAATATACTTCCTGATGGTGGAAGAAGTGAGGAGTCTGGGTAGCATGTCTTGGTCTGCCCCTAATCCTTTGTACCTTTGGGAAGCCATTTTGTCAATGCATACTTCAGTTGCAGTTAAAAAATCAAATTGTAAAAATGAAGGTGTAATTCTCAATGTTTGATAGTGTTTTAAAAACTTGTGAAGATTATAAACTAAAACAAAAATGCCTCATATACTGAATTTTATAGTTTCATTGTTTTCTAATATTCTGCTAAAAAGCAATAATAATTTAAAATATTTGGTGTGATGATAAATGCGGGTGTAATTGATACATAGCTGGGAAGATCTTTAGAATTTCTTACCAGTTGGAAGACTGAGCTGTTTTCTTCCATTGGTAAGAAAGGGGAAAGGTAATGTTAAACAAAAGCCAACTACAGACAAATGGCTTCAGGAGTCTACCTGGAGGTCTACCTGGTTGATTATGCCGGACTTAAAGATGGGGATCCAAAAAGCATGCAAAAAGAAAATTCCTATAAACAACCTAAGTCCCACTCCTAACTTCACAGTAGATAAAGGTAATGAGTTTGTTTGGTTTTTTTATTAAAAGAGTTCTGGTTAGAGAATGTGTTAAAACTGTCCTAAAAAGATAAATATTATAGACTAGCATCACTCTTAATATAGGTGAAAAAGAAACCCTGATGTTCTTAAGTATATCCTTTTTTTTTTCTGGGAGATATGAGACCTGACTAGCCATTTACATAATGGTTAGAAAATTGTGGGTGCTTAGGTGCTCACACTTTAAAGAGAGATTTGAATTCTTAATAGCTCTTCTTTTTAAGTCATAGTGAATGTTCTAGTGTTGTGATTGAAAGATATTTTCCACTGGCATGGTGATAAAGATATTTTTTTTATGTACCTTTCCTGAATATGGTTAAGTATTTTTATTGGCTTTTAATAAGTTTTACACTTCGTTTTTTAAGTCTTTTTTAATTTTAAACTTCTCAGTCACTGGGCCCTTGAGACCAGCCCTGTGGCATTGTTGGTCCTTTGCATTATCTGAAAACCTGTTTTGGGTTTCAAGATGTAGGTGCTCAGAATAAGAGTTCTGCAGATGTGTAGACGTAAAGGAATTATTTGGTCCTCCTTACTAAATTAAGAGCCAAGTTCTCCCCTCCTGTATATTCATGCTAGTCACCTTGAGCCTACGTGCAGCGGAAGACAAGACTTGTCCTTTGGTTTCTGGGGTTTTTTTAAGAGGTGTTGCCATATCCAGCCTTAGTGGAGCAATTAACATTGCCAGTTCAGATGAAAATTTGCAGTTGAAACTTTGTGCCTGTTTTTGTAGGAATCTGTCACAAAAGAAATGAGGTTTTAGTAGTTTTAGCAATGTAGAGAAAGATTTGATCCAAGTTCTCATATCTTTCAGATGTAGTCTCTGGTAATAGTCATCTTTGGTTTTGTTAGTTCCAGCAAATTAATGTTGGTGTCAGTAGTATAATATTGGAACTGTAAACTTCTTCATAGCATGGTAATTCTTGTATCATTTTAATGTTTTACTGGGACAGTTTTGTGCAACTATCACTTGCTGTTTTTAAACAGTCAATTTGTATTTTCAAAATAAGTTGAATAATGGTAGCGTTAACTCTAAAAATGTGTTGTTCTTTGGTATCTTTCTAGTTATCTGTTAAGTTCAGTAATAGCAAAATATTTATTTCTAGGTAACTTAGAAGAGAAATGCCTAATAGTGCTTCTATTTCTCTTACTGGATAAAAATAACTTCGAAGCTGATTTGCAGTGACCATGAATAATCAGTGAAGACATACGGCATTTTCTGGAATATTGAATGTTCTCATAATGAAGATCTCTCTTCTGCAGCAGATGTATAAGGACGTACTGGTAGGCATCCCACTAGCAAAGGAAAGCCATTATTATACCTCTTTACTTAATCTGTGTGTTGAGCAGTCACCAGAAAGAGATGAATCATGTAATCGGATGCATCTCCCATCTACTAATGGTGGTATTAGGAGCCATCAGGACACTAGGAGCCATCAGGACAGTGGTACATCAGATGCGGTTGTCCCTACAACAGGTGATATATCAAATAGCTTTGCAAACGTGAACTCCTCATTCTGTCCACGGGAAGTGATGCTGCTTCAGTTAACCTTGATCAAGGTGATGGTTGCTAAAGTGGAGTCCCAGGAAATTGAATTCAATATGAGACAGAAGTACTGTGAAATCTTTGTCCGTCTTCTGAAGGAGGCAAAAATTGACTCGAAATTGGTAAGCTTTTATAATCTTTTGAAAGATTTTTGTGAAAGGAGGAAAAAACAGAAAAAGAAGGAACATGCCTTAGATACTTTTTCTTTCTATTTGTCTGCAGATTTGTCTGCTCGGTAGTTATGATCAGCTGTTATCTCACATGGCTTCAAAAAGTTTAGCATCTCTTGTGTATTTCCAGCTGAAGGAAGAGGTGAGTATGGCATAACTTTTCACAGCTTAAAAAAATGACTTAGTGAATATGTGCCTTCAAGTTGTTCCATTTGACTCTAGAGCCAAGTTTTTATAGTGTTTATATGGTACGAAAGCAGTGACTGTATGACTACTGTAAAATCTAAAAGTACTTCTAAAGAGGCTCCTTTTGTAAGTAGACCCGCGGAGCAACATCAGAACTGCTCCTTTCCTCCATCTGTTGCTTGCATATCTACTCTGCTCTAGCTTTCCGAAAGGCACATCTGCAGTCAGCTGATGTTCAGCATCCAGACTCTGTTAGTCCCCTCAAAATGCCACACAGTTTTGTTGAAGTGTGTTTAGCTCCAGTATCAGGAACAATGTGAAGGTTATACAAGATAATACTATGTGATAGTTCTCCCATGAAATGTGTCTTAAGGGGCTTTGGGTTCTAAGTGATGGATAGGAAAGATATGTAATAAATATTCCAAGAGAGTACTTCAAGTGTGTTAGGAGGGGCAGGGTATAGAAAGAAAGGAGCTCAGATGTGTAACAGAAGTTTGTAATGTGAGGTGGAAGATCTTTATATATAAACATCTGGAATTTTATGAAACTATTTCAAGGTAAAATGTGTCTAGATGACAAGAAATATTCTCTTTAAGGTTGCAATACAGGTATTTAAAAAAACCCAATAGACTAAAAATATTTTTACAGTTACTTGATATCTGTTAGGTGATGCAGATATATAAAAATAGGTAATAACTTACTGAAAGTTAATCAAATGTTTTTCTGTATTTTCTCGTTTGAATATTCCAATTACTTGAGTTGAGGTTTTCTTGCTGTATATTTGGTGAATATGTATTGTAGCCTCCATAGTAGCATCTCTAAACATAGATTTCTCTCAGAAATATGTTTGTAATATTTCTTGCAAAGTTGTCTGGGAATTATGAATTCAGATATGGTCTGTCTACAGTATTACCTGATTTTAGGTAGGTCACATGACATTAGGAGGTTTGGTTTTCCCTGTCTGGAAAACTTGCTGTATATTTGGTGAATATGTATTGTAGCCTCCATAGTAGCATCTCTAAACATAGATTTCTCTCAGAAATATGTTTGTAATATTTCTTGCAAAGTTGTCTGGGAATTATGAATTCAGATATGGTCTGTCTACAGTATTACCTGATTTTAGGTAGGTCACATGACATTAGGAGGTTTGGTTTTCCCTGTCTGGAAAACATGGATAACTTCTGTTGCATGTGTATGTGACTTCATGTTTGTAAGTAGAGGCCTACATACTTAAGGCACTGGACAGATACATTGTTTCTCCCTGTGTTTTGTCTATGCCTATGTTTGAATCTTTTTAATGTACAATTTTGAATTATTGTATTATGATTTAATTTGCATAGCAATTGTAAAGCATACATGATTGTTTTTTGAACTAATTTTCTTAGAATGCATTAAATGTCACCTGGCTCACCTTTAGTCTGAAGACTCTTTCAGGATTCCCTGTGAATACCCAGGTAGCAGAATGTCTGTGGACTCTTACAACTATTATCAAGGACATACTGAAAGATAAATTTTCACCCAAAGCAGGTACTGTAGCAATTTTATGATGTTACCGAAACACGAGTGCCCGCTAGGGGGAGGAATGTTACTTGTAATCTCATCTAGAGCAGCTTGTCTAAAGAACACCGATTTTCTTTGTTAGAAAGAAGGTGACAAAGTACTATTAACGATGTAGTGGTTTAAAGATGTTTAAAAACCGAGAATAGTCACAATCACCTGTTTTCTGCTTATTTGATGATTTAGCTGACTGTGTTACACTCCAACTCCATAACGTTCTTCTTGTTGCTGTAGGTATTTTGAAGAAGCTGTTGGCTCCTCTTGATGCTGTGCTTGAAGGATTTTATAATTCCATTCTGTTCCATCATTTTGACAGTCACCACTATACTTCAACTTATTCTGAAGCTGTAAACAATTTGATCAGTTTTATAGATCTGCTTGAAGCACTTTTGGCTTCCAGAATCGAATTAGAACTACCGCTCAGATGCCAGAGAGTATTGTTTTTGCAAGTTTCTTATGTCCTGAACCTCATTAGCTCACCAATTCACTATTTAATCAAGAAGAAGTTCATTATGCTCCTTAAAAAATGTGTCCTTTACAAGTCTAGAGAAGATGCTAAGAGTGGATCACTGTTCTTACAAAACCCATCTTTATATGAGGATATGCTTGCACTGAGTAATGCTGTTCTGCAGGTTGTGAATTTGACTTGGCTTAATCAGATCCCACTCAGTGAAAAGGCCAGCTACTTTGGAGGCAGTGAAGCTTCTCCTGGAGATGATGCTCGAGGTGGTTCTGACCAAACTGTTCTCAGAGCCTTAAGTCTGGTTGTGCTTAAAGCACTGGAATTCAAGTTTCAGAACTCTGCTACAGAAGCTGAAATCAAAGGTAATAGTCTCCTTCAGTTTTGTTCATTAAGCAGCAAGAGTTTTAAAGCTCTCAGATTTTGTAGTCGCAGCTCATTAAGACTGTAAATAGAATTCAGCTGAATTAGTGGTGGTGGGAGGGAGGAAAGAGAAGACCCACCCAGGAAGCCTGCTATCACTGCATCCTGCCTAATTAGTTGTCTCCTTGCATTTTATCGTATCCTTAGCCCTGCAATATGGGGGGCTTGAAAAAGTTGCATTTGGGCCTGAAAACTTTTCCTGTTAAGAACACGTGTTAATATTTGAAATAGTTGAGCCAGCTTGGGAACACCAAACTCTTCCCCAGCTGGAAAAGAAGAGAGCCCATAGCACAAGCATCTACTCTATTTGGGGTGGAGAACTACAAGGAACGGCAGGTAACTCTTTCTGTTTTCTAATGTGGAGGTAGACCTGCAAGTGCCATTATCTTGGTTGAAGGTACTAGGCATTACTGTCAGACAAATAATGTAATAGGGCAAAAACCAGCAGTGGTAGAAAAGGTAAAAATAATGAAGCTGTAAAGTAAAAGACAGGAAAATTATGGGAGTTGGCAGAGTATAGTGGTTGTGTTCTTCACCCTGACTTATAGGTCTAGTTCTTTGAATTAGTAGGTGTTAGGCATACTTTTCATACCTGCTTACTTGAGTATGTTTGTTCTACTGAATAGACGAATTAGATTAGTAGAAGAGCAGATCTGGCTCTTGCGCTAAGGCTATGCCACAAGGCAGGCAGTGGGATGGCAAGGGAATGCTATGTGACTTGCGTTCCTGACGGAAGAGGACACGTTTCTGTGTCACGCTGGTGTAGCCAGTTAGTAGTCTTCCATGCTATATTGAAGCGGTGGGGTGAGGCTTTTTGCCTGAGAAACGCCCCTGGAATCCCATCTTTCCACTTGCCTCTTCACCTCTGAGAGGCACATGATGCACATCTTCTGATGCTAAGCCATGTGAACGTGGATGTGCAAATTCTATGATCAAAGCAGTTTGCTGTCCCAGATTACAGGCTTCGTGGCAAAAATGGAAAGGCAGTTCTGCAGCAGTGTTTCTAGTCAAATACAAGCGAGAATGGGTCTTCCTTATTGTCAGCCAATTGATGATGTGGCAAAAAGTAAAAAATAATTTATTTTTCTTTTTAAACAAGGATGAAATTTTACAGCATCTTAAATCTATTGAGGCATTTTAATACAAGTTCTAGATGTAAATGTTATTTTACTTTTTATATTTCTACATTACATAGCAAGCATAAAATCAATTTTTAATTCATCTGACTGTGCAAAAGAGGCACGGACTTCTGCAAGACAGCTTCTGACACTTTTTCCAGGTTTTGGAAGATGTTACATTTGTGATGCCAGTTGCGTTCTTTGAGTTTTTTAAGTATTTGTAGAGAATATTTTACTTATGGTCCACCTTCTGGAAAATGTATAGAGACTGAGATTGTCTAAGAACAAGTGAATAGAAAAAATGTAGGTTAAATCTATTTTTTAGGTCTCTATGAAAATTCTTTCTCAAAGAAAAAATTCTCCTTTCTTTTCCAGATTCATGACACAAAAATGAGTTCTTTAATGAGATTCAAATACCCCAACTGTCAAGAGGAATTTCAAGTTGAAAGGAATGGTGCTTCTATTTTAGTGACATTAAATTAAGTGGTTAAAACAAGCACCAAAATGCTTTAATATGCTAACTTCCTTTCCGGGAAGCTGGTTGATCTTACCTTTTTATTAACATGAATTACAGTGGCTTAACTTTAATGCATTTCAATTTTGAGAGTAATTTCCAGATAGCTTTGATTTATAGAGAAGAGTTTCAGTCTGAATAGTAACTATCAATAACAAAGATAATTTGCTGTTCCTATTATTTGTTAAGAGGAAAAGCAAATCTTAAAGTTAAATATTAAGGAAAACCACATAATGATGTGGTAAGTAAAATTGATTCCAAAGTTGCAAGAAATCTTTCAAAAACAGTAATCACTGTTTATATAAATGATCCACCTGTGCTCTTCAAGCCATAGTGTACTTCCAGCAGCATTAGGGTTCTTACTTAAGGAGCACCTTTGGGGTAAAGATATATGTCACTATATTTTTTCTGTTCTCTAAACATTGAAAGTATGCTGTGCTACATGAAAAACGGGTACCTACGTTCAGACGTAAAGAATCTTTTTATAGTATGTCATTAGTATTGAAGAGGTAAGTTTCTTGACTTAAGGGAAAGAGTCTGTCATAGGAATACAAAGTTATAGTAAGCTACTGCACTAAAATGGCATAAATTTTGAGGTGCTCTTCGCATCCAGGAGTGCAGTATTTAGAGGGAGGGGAAAAATGAAGATTTGCAGGAAAATCGCTGCTTACATTAATCCTTCCAGCAAGGATTTTAGACCATCTCATGAAGGTACCTTTATCCCAAGCCTGTATGTACTTGAAAACATGCATCATTCATGAAGAATTTATTTCATAAAGAATATGGCTATACTACAAGCTTCATACTTTGTTTTATTGTAGAAATGAGAATTTATTCCCATCAACTATAGATCATTGCAGTTAATTTCTACAGTGAATCACACTGGGGGGGTGTAGCTTCAATCCTGTCAAAACTTTACAATTGTATTCTTATTTCATACGAGAAGAACTACCTGAGATGACATCTCGGCAAAGTGCTCAGATTGGATCGTTACATCTGTGGCATTGACTTGATTGTAATTCACCTTTCTTTAGTTTGTGATGTACCAATGAAGCTACCTAATTGGGGAGCGAAAGGGAAGTATAAATCCCAGCTGTGTAGGTGTAGTCACATTTTTGTAGGTTTCCTGATATATGCAAATTTTTGGAGGTGTAATCTTGTTCATTAGTCTGCAAGCTGAGATGTGAGAGGATTCACCCTGTTGTACCCAGAACTTTCTAGGTCACCTCTGATTATTCTTCCTTGAACTCCAAGGAAATGAAGAATGCTGTTAGATGAATGAATTGTGTCCTTAAGTTTTATCTGTCTTGGGGGGGAGTCCTGTACCTAATGAGTAAATGAATTTTCTGCAGGTTACTTGTAGTTGTTAACATTGGCATCTAAACATTGGTATGTTTAGAGTTTAATAGAGTAGCCATTCACATTGAATTTAAGTTTAGATAACTGCTTATGGTTTTCTGCAAAATATTTCTTGATTTGTCTGGTACTAAGAAGCAAGAGCTAATTATAAAATTTGATGCTGTGTTAAATCAGTTGAGCTAAGGAATGATAAACGCATTCATGAACTGTTATGCACTGTTAATTTAAAAAATAAAAAATGTATGTTGTTTAGTAGCAAAAAATGTATAGCAAAATTCATGGTTACTTCTTCTTTTCAGGAGATTTTCAGAGTTCCATGTCCCAGCTGTTGATATTCTGGAGGAGTCATCTGGAGTCCTCCCCACAGTTTCACCCAGTTGTACATCACTGTGAATGGCTCTCCTTGGTTTTCATAGAGCAAGATGATGATATGTGGGAAGCTGCTAAAGCTTTATTACTTGTTTATTTAAAATTTGATAGGTTAGTGTACATTTTATTTGACAGAACTATGAAGAATTGTAATTTAGTGAGGTTATTGTGATATACATAATATTTCCATTGATTACTTTTGTATAAAGAAAAAATATTTTTAATAATTAAAAAAAACAAACAAACCTCAGGACAATGTAATAATGTGTGGTGTAAGAGCAGTTAACTCTGCTGATATTTTGATTAAGTGTTTTTTGGATTGAAATGAGGGAGTTGTGCAACAGTTTCCTATTAAATACTTTATTATATCCTGTAATTCAGAATAATTGACTTCACAATCTAAAACAGTGGTTAGACACAGATAAAAGGCAAGACTGTTTTCTTTCAACACTGAGAGTTTGACAAGAATGGGATATTATAATGAAACTTCAAGAATTCAGGGACTTCTGGAAAAGTAGCCCTCTAAGGATTGGACCCATGTTAATTCTAGCTAGTTAATAAAAACTGTTATTGCTAACAACTGATATGTGTTCTTCATGAACTTGTCCTGGACATTCACTGCTTCATTGTTTAAATTGCCGTACAAGATTTTATCCTAATTTATAAAAGGTCCCTCAAGCTTCAAATGTGAAGATATTGTAAGTAGTATCTTGGATACACACAATTCTTCTTAGACACCTAAATAAAAGTAAACCACTCTTCTCCAATGTGCTTAGCATCCTGAAAGTTAACCTATGTTCGGGTGTACAAAAACATTAAAGTAACAATTCATGTATTGTAAGTAACTTTGTTTATTCCAGAATGTTTCCTAAGGAGGAATGCTGTTTAAGAGGCCTGCTTTAAGTGCTTTGGCTTCCCAAACTGTCTGATCTCCTAGCCCCACCTGCGTTAATTCTTTATAATATAAAAACTTCTTTTTTGGTTTTCACTTCTTGACAAAATCAAGAAAGAGCAAGAATACCATTTTCTGGACATACCTGTTTTTTTAAAAACTGTAAACTTCCGTGGAATTTAATCTATTTCATGACTTACTTTTCAGGTTGCGGCATGATACTGCTGATAACTTAAGCCAAAAAGAGGAGGAAACCTGGAACTTCCTTACGCATGCAAGTGGATGTAATCCTCACTGTGTCTTTTTATTTTTTCTGGAAAAAATCACATTTGATTCCACAGTACTTCTAGATTTTTTGATTTCATCAGAAACTTGCTTTCTGGAGTACTTGGTAAGGTACTTAAAGCTTCTTAGAAAAGATTGGCATCAGTTTGTAGATGTCTGTAACCATTTTGATGCCAAACATGGCACTTTTCAATCAATTTCTTCTGTCAAGCCTCCCCATCAAGAAAAACAAAGCTGTATGACTGATGAGAGTTTGCAAAATGCTGCTTGTGAACCAGAACCACAGACTCTGATATCTTTGGCTTCTTTTCACAATTACTTAGTGTTTACAACAGAGCAAGGTGATAATGAAGTTGCCAAGTCTAACCAGTCTAACTCATTGATATGCACTGATAGTACATCTCTGCTGGGTTCTCTTCAAGGCCTTGTTCATTATGACAGCTCAGAAGACTCTGAATTAGAATCAGATGGAAAAGAGTGCTTGGTAAACACAAAGCAGGTGCCTTTAAATAATGAGGGTGAGACCAGGGTAAGAGAAACTGGTTGCAGCTACACAGATGATAAACAGAATACACTCAGGTCTGAAGTGTTGCCCCTGAAACAAAAGGGATCTAATACCTCATGCTGTTTGACTTGTATGACGTCTTTGGATAACATCATTCCCCCAAGAATAATGCTTTACAAATCAACAAAATGTTTGGAAGAACTGCAAAAAGCTATTTCTAGGTTGCAGAGAAGAAATCTTTTCCCATACAATCCATCTGCATTGTTGAAACTACTGAGCCACGTTGAGAAGATCAGTAAGAACGTGAATCCACAATAATCCAAAGAAATGTTCTAGTGATTTTTTTTTTAACTAGTACACTAGGGAATGTTTCCATGAGATTAATGACTTCTAAATCTCATGTCTCTTGCACCTGTCAGTGTATTTAACCTGAAACAGGATAAACATGTTTTTGGTTGACACCTTAAAAATCTGCAATTGTGTTCAGTGATATGATCCATTACCTTAGGGTCCTAGGCTTATTCATGGTACGTATGTCAGTGTACGGTCTATAATGATTAATTGTTAGGTATTCAAAATTTGATAATAAATGACTAATGTGAAGGCATATCAACAATATGATACTTAAAGTATTGTCAATTATACTTAATGTCATTCCATATATGAAGTCATTGCCAGATTGGTAGTGCTTTATGGACTACAGTGCAGTGTTAATGCAACACTTGACTGCTTAGAGGTTGAGCTAAATAAAATATTTTAGTTGGGGACAGTTTTGGTGTTTATACAGTGTGTTCTGCATCGGCGCTTTGCTGTAAGCGGACATTCAGATGTGCTACCACAATTTCAATAATCCGTGCCACACTTTTCTTGGCTGAAGTGCTTAACTGATGTCTAGGTTGTACTTTTTTTAGCTTTTACTGTTTACCTGATTTAACTAGCAGTGTTACCATTTCACTGAAAATTGAATTTAATTTTTCTTAATATTTTATGATACATTCCTTTAATTAAGAGGAAAGGTAGATGTGGGACTAATTTAATATTGCCTATTTATAGAACATTTTAGTGGAGCGTTACATCTAAAATCAAGCTTAGGTAATGCAGAAGTGAAATTCCAACAGAATTCCTCGCATCCATTACTTATTTTATATAAGTATAGAATATATACTTAATAAGTTGTTAAATCAGAAACAGATAGCTAGAAATTAAGTGTCTGCAGTGCAGTGAGATGGATATTGAATTTAAATTCTTATACTTACATCTTTTACTAGATCTAATTTGAATAACCTGAAAAGTAAGACTTTGCCTAGGAGAGTTAGTTTAGAACAGGATCCAAACCAGTGTGTGCACTTAGCAGGAAGCCACCTAATGTTGGTACACTTGACATGCAGCTTGTATGATCTTACGGGGATTAGGCAATGGGAAAGTACTGACGACAGGCACTACTGTAAAAATCTCAGGCCTTATCAGAACTGTAAGAAGCAGTTTTCCTTTTAGGATCGTCTCTTGAAGGTAAGTGCTCTATTCTGATTGAGAACCAGGTAAGTTCTATCTTCCTTTTAAAGAGCTATTTAGTGTAAAATTATAATAGATATTGAGTTAAAAGAAACAGTCTCTGGAGCAGGTGACTCTGACCCCCAAATCTGTGTGGCCATCTTCGAGATTAGTCTTGAGCTCTGAACTGGTGAATCAACACTATTGGGAGGGGAAGAAAACTAGGTGAAGCTTATGGGATAATTTAGCTGGAAGTTACAGCGCTCTCCAGAGACTCTTGAATGGTATGAATTCTCAGACAGGAAGGTTTGAACCTCAGCCTTATTCTTTTAGGATGACAGCTGTAATCACTTGGCAGTTACATAGGAAAGAGTGATCCCCTTCACTGGCATGTAGGAGATGAGAATATTCTGTGCGTTCGTTGTGCTTTGGTTTCTTCCTGAGAACTCTTGTGCATAGGAGTGGGTGAGAATGTCAATGAATGGAAACTTGTCAATTCATGCTTATAGTTACTTTAGTTAGAAACTAACCTCTGAGTTGTCTAGGGCAGAAGAATGCCTGGTTTCTCTTTATTGTTTGAACTTGGTTATGCTCTAGATGCTGAGTCCTTGTTTCTGTCAGGACTAAAATGCCTCTGGGCATGTTGAAAGATGCAATTCTAGACAAATTTGGAACTTTTCAGTTCAAACAAGGGAAGCGCCTTTGGCAAGGCAGTTGAGCAAGAGTTTCTCAAGATCACAATTTTAAGCACAGGAAGGTACTTACATTTCAGTAAAATCCTTTCCACTATCCTCACTTCTTTTCTAATCTAGCCTTTGCTGACTAATTTATTTTAACTAAGTAACTTCATTGTTTTCACTGAACATAGTATTGTTCAGCATTTCTTGGTCTATACTTTGCCAGTTGGAAGTATCTAAATTACAACAGTATTTCTCAGACACTGATAAGATAAGCAGGGTGGGAAAGGTAGAATGGGGAGATAATTTCGGTTTTGTTAAGTGCTAGTTTTCTTGTTTGTCAGTGATTACTACAACTATAAAAACTTTTTTGAAGTAAGAGTTTAGACATCTCAGAACAGTGTGTAGAATTTAGCAAGAAGTATAGGAGCCAGTACTTTTTTTTTTTTAATACAGCAAATGCAATTGCAATCCAACTGTATTTAATTCTTACAGGCATGAAGTTGATTGTGTGCCCAGTTGGTTATTAGTAGTGATCATTCCCACATGTTTCACTTCTCAGAAAGCCATTGTTTTAATTCTCAGAATGTTTTAGTGGTAAAAATGAGTAAATGTGGTTTGTATCTGGCAACTAGATACCTTAATGTGCTGATATTTCACCATTTATAAACTGTAGGACCTGAGATGGAGTAAAACTGATGTGAGTCAACTTTTTCTTTATTGCACACAAAATGAGGGTGAGCAGTGAAGGTAGTAGTTCTATGGCTATATTCAAAAAGTCTAAGCACAAAGAAAACACCTTGCAAAAGATTTTGTATTTTAATCCACTAGTGAGTATTTAAGGTGAGGTGGTTGGGGTTTGTTTGTTTTTGTTGTGGTGTTTTTTCCCTTGAGTTTTACTATCTAAAATTTTTAGGCAGAGCTGTTACTTCATTTGCTAGAGCAAGTTAACTCAGCTGCAGAACCTATTACCAATGTTAAATTAGAACTTGGGAAGTAGGTCAGTTATTACTAGGAGGTTGATGTGCCTTACCTTTGGATATTGATATCTAACAACTTTTCTTGTATTTCAAAGCAAGACAGAACAAATCAGTTGACCTGTCTGGAGACAGTTTTCTATCTGAGGACTTACCCTGAAATATCCACAGTCTCCATTTATGTCTGTGCAGTTGTTTTGAGGAGTTTACCTTCAACATCAGTAGAATAAATTATGCTTTAATGAGGTAAGCAGTTAGCACTAGAAATTGCTTACAGGATGTGCTTTTTAAAAGGAATATTTTTGAACTTGAATATTTGTAGAGCTTGACTGCAATTACAGCTGAATCCAGGTGGTTCCATGATTGTGGTTCTTCAAACTGCATTTCCTCCAATATTTTTATGACTGCTTTCCATTCTAGTTTTAAGACTTGTAATACAAGTTTTAATCCTGTAATACAAGAACAAAAACCAACCTTGAGAATTTCTAGACTTATGGTACTCTTGTAAAGCTGGGAATAAGGAGCCTTGGTTGTTCCCTGGTTTATCACTGCAGGCTAAGCATTGTTCGTATTTCTTCCAAAGTCAATCTGGGATGGTGTCTGAAGTCAGTATCAAATATTTATCACAGCCTTTCAGTGTCAGTAGGAGTGAAAATGCTGTGGTCATTACAATTTTACTTCTATGTATTTTCCCTTAAAGAGTTGTCCAAATGAATTTGTAAATTCTTGTATTTTGTACAATGCTTTTAGGCTACCTGGTTCACTCTGAAATCTTGTTAGAAGCCAAGTGTATGTGTCAGAATGGATGATAGGCAGTCTCTTACTATCACTAGCTCAACAGCAGGCATGGACCTGGACTTGGTTGAGAAACATCTTAGGGATTTAAGCTTTTCCAAGTCATTGTCTTTTTAAATGTTGTGCAAATGAGTTTATTGCTGATAACTGTCAGAGACACTCTTTAATAGACAAGCAGACTTGCTGCTGGTTTACATACAGCAAGGAAGGAAGGAATACAACAATATATTTTGTGGTAAAAAGCTTGCAGGGAGAAGTACAACATCCTCAGTTATTTCTGGTTCCTACTTACCTGTGCTGTGAAACACGAGTTTTGTCAGTCAGCAGTGTCCTTTCAGGGGGAAGATTTAAAAAAATGATGAAATGTTTGAAAAAGTAGCACACGCAACCTCAAAAGTAATTGCAACTGCTGAATGTTGGCTTCCTTAAAAGGTTGTAGGGAAGGTTTGTATTTACATATCCTGAAACTATGTCAGGAGTTTTAGCTGCTAATCGTAGTTGTCCAAGAATCTGCCTCATCTTATCCTGGTACTAGAGAGCTGAAACCTGAAAGACTTTCTGTGGAGCTTCAAAGAGCTTCCAAATGTCCATAGCTACTTTGAAGGAAGTAATAGCTACATAGAAAACAATGGATAAGATTTTGAAGCCTATTTTGTGAAACAGCATGTACTGATTAAGTAAAAAAAGATTTGTTGTCAAATGATAAAATCCTGTGTGCTTATTTCTACATTCACAATGTTCATCCTTTGCTTGCTAGCTTTATCTTCAAATACAATCTTTTGGAGTTTGTCAGCTCTTAGAGTAACTTTGTTACTCCAGCTATTTATAACTATTTCATGTAGGGATTTAACCGAAAGAGAAATTAATGCTTTCTGGAAGCTTACCAACAGACAGTACTTGGCTTCCTTGATAGTATTTATATTCTTCAAGAAAATCATGTATGAAATGGTGTTCTCTTCCTGCTGACACCACTGCAGCTGCTGTGAGAATTGGGCAAAGATCCATTATGCAGCAAATGTAAAACTCAACCAAGTTTTTTTAATTATTTATCTCCTCCAGGGAGAATCTAGTACTTGGTCATCTTCAACAGAATATTGGTCCCTCTAAAGGAGTGTTTCTTCACCTAAGCTGAAAATATTGACTAGTATGATGCCAGTGTTTTCTGTAATTTTCAATTATGAGCTGATGCAGAGGGGGGAATTGCTGGCTGTGAAGCATCAAAGGGATTGTCTTTCAGTTTCACCAAGCAAATGCTTATATTTTGCACTTGTGTTCTCTGTGGATGGATAAAGATTGATGCTCTAAGAGTCTTCTGGTAATGTAATCAAACAACATTTGCAGTGTTGTCTTATGTGCAAATGTTACAAATTGTTGAGGTTTATTTTCATACAGTTGTTAAACCAGTGCTTCCATCTCCAAGGATCAAGGCATCTTTTTTTAATCCTATGTTATTTGGACTGTTGGAAATGAATTAAACTCTCTGAATTGGTTGGACTAATTGCTAAATCTCTAGTGTTGCAGCCAGATTTTGTATATTAGTCTCCTGCATCCTAAGATAGTAATAGCACACGGGAGTATTATTTGAGTGAATTAGCAGTGCTGTATTTAGAGTGGAAAGGGTGAACTAGAGAAGTCAATCCTTAGATAGAGTTGTTCTTGCTAAGATTTTGTGAGTAGCACGCAAGTTTTAACACACTGCTTACTAAAAATGTGAGCAACTGAAGTTACTCTTCTTGCGAAATTTACCTTTTCAAACGTATTAGAACATACTTAGTGGAAGTATCTTATATAGATATGCAGTTATAGCTGAATTGCTCTAG